CCCCCCCCCCCCCCCCCCCCCCCCCCCTCACACACACACACACACTATTTGCGTTCTGGCATCGGTCGGTTTACAAATTCAGCCCTATTACTTGGTCTGACTACTGCTATTATGATTCTGTTCAGTTTTATGTGAACCGTTTTCAGTAATAGTTTGAAGAAGTGGTGATACATTTATGTTCATTATGTGAATAGGTAAAGTTTTATTTTAAAGTGGTTTTTGATACTGTTAATTTTCTCAAAACTGTAATTTTTGGAAGCTGAAATTAAACATTTTGTTAATTAAATGTGTCTTGAATGACAAATAGCCCATTTTTAAAAAATTGTATTAACACTATTAAAGAACATCCATCCATCCATCCATCCATTATCTTTACCCGTTTATTCCATTTTGGGTCACGGGGGTCGCTGGTGCCCATGTCCAGCAATCACTGTGCGAGGGGCGGGGTACACCCTGGACGGGTCGCAAGTCCATCACAGGGACACACAGAGACAAACGAGACAAACAACCATTCACTCTCTCACTCACACCTAGGGACAATTTAGAGTTACCAATCAGCCTAACATGCATGTTTTTGGTCTGTGGGAGGAAACCGGAGTACCCGGAGAAAACCCACGCATGCATGGAGAGAACATGCAAACTCCACCCAGAAGGCCCCTGGACTGGGGTTTGAACCAGGGACCTGTTCGCTGAGAGGCAGCAGCTCTACCAGTTGCGCCACCGTGCTGCCTATTAAAGAACAGATATTAAGTATTTATGTACACAAATATGTCCATTGCATTAAAGAGACTAATTTAAAAAAATTATTTATTAAACATGAGGGATATGAGGGGGTCCCTGAAACTTTTTCTCCCCTGTGAGGGGTCCATGAATCCAAAAGCCCTATTTACAACACAACCCTCATAGATCATTGCATTAAATCGCTCTGACTGTGTCAGATATGCACGTTTGGTAAGATAATAGGCTAACTTGATAATAAATGCAATGAAACTGTTAATGTGACAGTGAGAGAACAGACAGAGTGACTCACGCGTCTTTTCTACCAGCTTGACGATAACTCCTCCAGTGTGAAGATCAGAGGTAACACTGATGGTGACAGGGGGGGCATCAGGCCCCAGGTCCTCCACAGTGACGGAAAGATCCCACGCCGCCATACTGTGAGTAAAACAGAGTGAGAAAGTAAGTCCAGATAGAGGTCGGGCAGAGTTAAGATGACAGTTAATTTCATCAGAGGCAAGCAGAAACAAGAAGAAAAAGTGGAACAATGCAAGAAAATAGTTTCAGCGGCTCTGATCCAATCGTCTCCTTTCACTTCTGCAATGTTGTAAAGCATGTTGTCGTTCATTTCAATATAAAAAACGAGTTATAAATGCAGCTTCTTGTAGATTAAATACTCAAAAACGGAATATTTAGGATAAGAACACATTTTTGATCGGCTGAGACAAAAAAAAAAAACAACAAAAGACTTTACAATCAGGAAGTGAGGAAAACGAGCTTTAATTTTAGAGTCATAACCACGTGATAACGAGTGACAGAGACTCACACATCCACTGAAAGACATGAGCATTTTGACAAACTCTTCCTGTTTCTGACATGAAACATCACCATACTTCCGCTTTCTACCCCTCCACAGGCGTGTTGTTCATTTGATGTTGACACAACCTCCTCCCTCTTGTATTTAAAACTATAAAGCCATCTGAAACATTTTACCTTAATAAATAAAACATGTCTTTTTCTATTAATTCAATATTCTCTAAAATGAAATACTGACAGGTGAAAGACAATGTTAAAATAGAATGTTAGAAACCTTTTACAACAGTTCAGAGGCCTAAACTTGCAGTATTTATATGGTTTAAATACAAAAATAGACCAGTTCATTCTTTTACATTACTCTATATGTGACTTAATAAATATCCTTATAGCTGTATGTTTTATACCGAAGCCTCGTACAAGACTGCTGAGCTAGTTTTCTCTTACATCATACATACACAGATAGTTTGAACGACAATACCGTCAGTCTTCTCTGTCCAACACCTGAGAAAAGGTCCTGTGGTTTGAGAGATAGAAGCAGTAGGACTTTTGTGTCTTTCAAAAAGTTTCCCCGGTCCTCTGTAAGAAAATGCAACAGTTTCACCTCACATGGGCTGGGCAAGTTGTGGTCTGTGGTGCAGCGTCTGCCTGTGCTGCTTGAGTCACCCTTGTCAAAAAAGGCTTGTTCCTTTTTTAAATTTTTTTTTTTTGTCAGTTTCCGCCAGGCGGAAATGTGAAAAGAGTTTGACAATTGATGAGCGGTGCGAGTGAAAGATATGGGGCAACGTGTATGCACGTTTATAAATAAATTATATTTTGTGGGTTGCAATGTCAGCAATCATAAAATTAAAGATGTTGATCGTTACTCTTGAATTTTATTAAGTCAGCTTTTGCAAAGTTAAAATTACACACACACACACACACACACACACCAGTACCTGCAGTCACACAGTTTGGTATCTTGTGTTTTTTGTCGATTGTAAGCATGTGCAAGTTTAGATGACCCAAGTTCAATAACTGAGCATTTAAATATTAATGTAGTTTATTTTTACACTGCAGCAACATTTGATATAGTAGTGTACTATTTGGAGTGCACACATTATTTAACTTCCTTTGTCAAGTCTTCATCCATCCATCCATTATCTTTACCCGCTTGTTCCATTTTGGGTCACGGGGGTCGCCGGTGCCCATGTTCAGTTGTCACTGTGCGAGAGGCAAGGGACACCCTGGACTGGTCTCCAGTCCATCACAGGGACACATAGAGACAAACGAGACAAACAACCATTCACTCTCTCACTCACACCTAGGGACAATTTAGAGTTACCAATCAGACTAACATGCATGTTTTTGGCCTGTGGGAGGAAACTGGAGTACCCGGAGAAAACCCACGCATGCACAGAGAGAACACGCAAACTCCACCCAGAAAGGCCTTCGGCCGGGATTTGAACAGGGGACCTTCTCACTGAAAGACAACAGGTCTACCAGCTGCGCCACCGTGACACCGAGGGAGAAGAGAATGAAGTAATTAGATTTTTACATCTTTGTCTAGACTTTTCTTTCCTAGGTTACTATGCAGCACTACTGTACTTTGATCAGTTATGTTTTTCTATCACTACTTGTAATTTAGACTGTTTTACCCCCCCAGTCAGTCAGAATATTTAAGTTCCCCCTCTCGTCTTAATCACTAAGTCAGTGGGTACTTTAGTTTCCTATGCTGGTATTTTACTGACTTGCATTTGTTTGATTCTGTCTCTTTTCTCTGGGGAGCCCGAGCTCTGTGTGGAACAAGTTCTCAAACTCCTAATTTAATCCAAGTTTTGGTCGTTATGAATGTGTTTGGTCAGTAGATGGCGCCAACATGCTTGAAATGATTAAAGTTGCCTTTAGTGGGGAGAAAAGATCTAGTTTGATTTAAAGTCAAATATACTTTATTAAGAGCTGACATTTATCATCTACATGCATTGAACTCAATAACATCACCAGTCCGCCTGAAAACATCTAAATGAGTCAACGCTTCACAGTTTGTGAGATTATCATGTCTTTAAAATGACGAGTCATAGTCCAGCTTTTACTTTTGCATGTAAATGAACTCTGAAACATATTCTCCTCGTGGCTG